TCTTTGTGCCTCAGTTTCCTCATTTTAAAAATAAGCTGGTAATGATTCTTGTTACCGTCTTGTGGTAAGGACTGAATGAGTCAGTGACAGTAACACGCCTTCAGTGTTGTCATATGCCACCTCCCTCTTAGAAGCAACTGAGCTCATCAACGTACAGATCCTAGAGTCCTTAGTTAATAGAAACCATTGATGTTCTGATAGTTTCACACTCACTTTTTTTATTTTATTTTTTTAGATGGAGTCTCGCTCTGTTGCCAGGCTGGAGTGCAGTGGCGCGATCTCGGCTCACTTCAACCTCCGCCTACCGGGTTCAAGCGATTCTCCTGCCTCAGCCTCCCGAGTAGCTGGGACTACAGGTGCACCACCACGCCCAGCTAATTTTTGTATTTTTAATAGAGACAGAGTTTCACCATGTTGGCCAGGATGGTCTCAATCTCTTGACCGCATGATCTGCCTGCCTTGGCCTCCCAAAGTGCTGGGATTATAGGCGTGAGCCACTGCGCCTGGCCTCGTACTATTAGAGTGTAGACATTGCCAATCCATCTCCCTCTGGCTTGCTTGCCTCTGTCTCTTTGCCTTCTCAGCCAGTTGTCTTTCTGAATCCCCACTTCCTTGCTTTCTGTGGCTTACTTACCTGCCTCAACAAGGCTCTTCTTTGCCACTGTTAGCATTCTCACTGAGGTCACCAGTGACCTCCAAATTGGCAGGGGTTATTTTCCAGTCTTTCTGTCACCTGACCTCCCAGTGGCACCTGACCCTGTGAGCCTCTCCTTCCTGAACTTCCGTGTTCCAAGACACCACCTGTCCCTGCTACAATCTAACCTCTCAGCATTTTCCTCTTTACGCTGTATCAGGGGCTCCTTTTTCTCCACCCACTGTTTAGATGTTAGTGTTTCTCCTCTTTCTGTTTGCTTATCAGCTATGTGACCTCAGATGTTATCAAGATTCTGTATGCTTGGGTTTCTTCATAAGTAAACTGGAGATGGTTATATTCCTGCCTCTTAGGATTAAATGTGCAAATCTATGTAAAGTGATGAGTGCAGTACCTGGCACTGTGTCAGCATGCAGTAAATATTAGTTGCTATTATTACCATTACTTGCTTTGCTATAAATGTCTGTTGACTCCTGTGGCTTTTACTCTTCTCCATGTGCCTCCCAACTTTATCTCTGGCCCAGACTCAGAATCTCCCCCGATTACAGGCCTGTGTTTCTTTTTTCTTTTTATGTTTTTTGAGACAAGGTCTTACTGTTGCCCAGGCTGAAGTGCAGTGGCATGATCATCGCTCACTGCAGCCTCCTTCTCCTCAAGCAATCCTCCTACCTCAGCCTCCAAGTAGCTGGGATTACAGGCACCCACCACCACACCCGACTAATTCTGTGATTTTTAGTAGGGACAAGGTCTCGCTATGTTTCCCAGGCTGGTCTCAAACTCCTGCGTCTAAGCAGTCCTCCTGCCTCAGCCTTCCAAAGTGCTAGGATTACAGATGTGAGCCACCACACCCTGCAGAAATTTTTTTGGTTTTGTTTGTTTGTTTTTCATTTTTGATAAAGAGTCTCGCTCTGTCACCCAGGCTGAAGTGCAGTGGCACAATCTTGGCTCATCCGCCTCCCGGGTTCAAGTGATTTTCGTGCCTCCACCCCTGAGTAGCTGGGACTACAGGCATGCGCCACTACACCCGGCTAACTTTTTATATTTTTAGTAAAGATGAAGTTTCACCATGTTGGCCAGGCTGGTCTCGAACTCCTGGCCTCAAGTAGTCTACCTGCCTTGGCCTTGCAAAGTGCTGGGATTACAGGAGTAAGCTACCACACCTGGCCAGAAATTTTTTTTTCTTTCTTCGAGATGGAGTTTTGCTCTTGTCACCCAAGCTGGAGTGCAGTAGCACGATCTTGGCTTACCGCAACCTCCACCTCCCGGATTCAACTGATTCTCCTGCCTCAGATCTCCCGAGTAGCTGAGATTACAAGCACCCACCACCACGCCTAGCTAATTTTTGTATTTTTAGTAGAGATGGGGTTTCACCATGTTGTCCAGGCTGGTCTCCATCTCCTGACCTCAGGTGATCCATCCGCCTCAGCCTCCCAAAGTACTGGGATTATAGGCGTGAGTGACTGCACCCAGCCAGAAATGTTTTAAAATCTAGAAAAATATGCCGAGTGCAGTGGGAGGCAGGCGAATCACTTGAGGTCAGAAGTTCAAGACCAGCCTGGCCAACATGGTGAAACCCTGTCTCTGCTAAAAATACAAAAGTTAGCTGGGTGTCATGGTGCCCACCTGTAAACTCAGCTACTCAGGAGGATGAGGCAGAAGAATTGCTTTAACCCCGGAGGCGAAGTTTGCAGTGAGCCAAGATGGCGCCATTACACTCCAACCTGGGAGACAGAGCAAGACTCCATCTCAAAAAAAAAAAAAAAAATGTAGAAAAATATAAAGATGAGGCCGGGAGCAGTGGCTCACGCCTGTAATCCCAGCACTTTGGGAGGCCGAGGCGGACGGATCACCAGGTCAGGAGTTTGAGACCAACCTGGCCAACATGGTGAAACCCCATCTCTACTATAGATACAAAAAATGAGCCGGGCGTGGTGGTGTGCGCCTGTAGCCCCAATTGTTCCGGAGGCTGAGGCAGGAGAATTGCTTGAACCTGGGAGGCAGAGGTTGCAGTGAGCCGAGATCACGCCATTGCACTCCAACGTGGGTGATAGGTGAGACGCCATCTCAAAAAAAAAAAAAAAAGAGAAAAATACATAGATGAATACAACCACCAACCATGTACCCACCATTGGAAGTGATAATTGTTAACACTTTCTTATCTTTGTTTCATCTTCTTTTTTTGTTAATAAAAGAAATAAAGCGTTACAGATAAAGTTGGTAAATGATGAAGTCTCTTTTTGACTCCTGGGGCTAGTCCTGTTCCCTAAAAACTGTTGTGGATATAGTATATTTGGTGTGACTCCTTTGATGTTCCTTCCTATACTTTCATTGTGGCACTGAGCATCCTGGTACCGATCTCCAGGTCCAAAGTGCAAGAACTTCTGTACTTCTCTAGAGCAGATAGTTAGAAGAGGAAAGTATATTAAAAAAACAAAAAAAATTTTTTTTGAGACGGAGTCTTACTCTGTGGCCCAGGCTACAGTACAGTGGCACAGTCACACATCACTGAAGCCTCAACCTCTTAGATGCAAGAAATCCTTCCATCTCAGCCTCCCTAGTAGCTGGGACTACAGGTGTGCACCACCACGCCCAGCTAATTTTTAAATTTTTTGTAGAGTCAGGGTCTCACTATGTTGTCTAGGCTGGTCTTGAACTCCTGACCTCAAGTGATCCTTCTGCCTCGGCCTCCCAGAGTGCTGAGATTACAGGCATGAGCTACCACACCTGGCCAAAAGGAGCATTTTAAATTCTATTAGATACTCACTGATTGGATCCCAAAGTGGTTGCCCCAAAATGTAGACTTCTGCTACCAGCCGTGTACAAGAGTGCCCATTTCCCCACAAGTTAGGCTTTTCAGTTTTTGCTAGTCTCATGAGTGAGAAGTAATTGATGCCTTTTTATAATTGTAATTTGCTTTTTCCTAATTACTAGTAAGGTTAGACATCTTCTGAGTATGTTGGCTATTTGGGTTTCCTTTGCTGTGAGTTGTTTACCCCTAACCTTTGCCTGTATTTTTCTCTTGGCATCATTTATCTTTTTTTGTTATAGATTAGCAGGTGTTTTTTAACACAGGGATGTTACTGTTTGTTCTTTAGTTTGCAGACTCTCCCCCTAACCTGTCTCTATCCTAACTTTGGCGTCTTTTGATGAAAACTTTTCATTGTCATGTAGTCTGAACTGTCTTGATCTTGGAGTGTTTTTGGTTTTTTGAGACGGAGTCTTGCTCTGTCATCCAGGCTAGAGTGCAGTGGCATGATCTTGGCTCACTGCAAGCAACCTCTACCTCCCAGGTTCAAGTGGTTCTCCTGCCTCAGCCTCCCGAGTAGCTGGGACTACAGGTGCTCACTACCATGCCCAGCTGATTTTATTGTATTTTTAGCAGAGACAGGATTTCGCCGTGTTGGCCAGGCTGGTCTTGAACTCCTGACCTCAAGTGATCCGCCCGCCTTGTCCTCCTAAAGTGCTGGGTTTACAGGTGTGAGCCACTACGCCTGGCCTGGAGTGTATTGTTTTAATAAATGTCTAAAGTAGCCTCTAGGGCACTGAGGTGGGACCTCTGCTCCTCCTTTTCCTGCAGCTCCATGTGTCTTACCAGAAGTACTTCAAGCTGGAGCCCCTCCAGGCTTACCATCGGGTCATCAGCTTGGAGGATTTCATGGAGAAGCTGGCACCCACCCACTGGCCCCCTGAGAAGCGGGTGGCATACTGCTTTGAGGTGGCAGCCCAGCGAAGCCCAGATAAGAAGACGTGCCCCATGAAGGTGGGTCCTGTGGGTTCGGGGTCCCTTTCTTCCTGTTCCATGTCCTCTAGGCCCCCAAGACTATGTCATGGCAAAATGCAGGGAAAGGACTTAGAGTAGAAAAACGGAGATTTAAGTCCTGTTTCTGGCATTTGTTAGTAGAGCAGCATCACCTCGGGCAGAAGACTTTGCTTCTCTGAGCCTTCATTTCTACCTACAAAATAGAGATGCCAGTCCCTGCTCTGTCTCACTCATAAAGTGTCTTGAGGGCCAGGTGAAAGAGTGCTTATAAACTGCAAAGTGTCACATCAGTACTAATAACTAATATTCACGTAGCACTTACTATATATGTCAGATACCATGCTAAGAGCTTTACGTGTATCAACTCATTTAATACTCACACTGTTCCATGAAGAGAATACTTATAATATCCCCACTTCATAGAGAGGACACTGAGGACGGCACAGAGAGGGTCAGTATCTTACTCAGGATCACACAGCAAACAAGTGGTAGAGCTGGGATTCAGCCTTAGGTAATTTGGCACCATTGTCTACCCACTTAACTTGAATACTTTCCTGCATCTCAGCAGGCAAATGAGAGGCTGTCATATCTTATTAGAAGAAATTTGTGCATTTCTGGCACTTTGGAAATAAGGCAACCCCCAAATATGTCTTTCGGTGTATGTTCTAAAGTCTTAGGAAAGTGGTTGGAAGAACCATGAAATTTGAGAAAGGAGACCTAGCTCACAGCCCCAGTAGTGCCCTTACTTGCTTGTAACCTTGGGTAAGTGTCTGACCCTCAGTGGGCCTTGGTTTCCATCTTGAAAATGAAGGCATTGGATTAGCCAATCTTGAATGTCTCTTGAAGCTCTAGTCCTTGGTTCAGGTCTGCTTCTCCCCAGACCGTCATCAGTGCTGCCGGGTCAGCAAGGTGTGACATATGAACAGGAAAGACTTTCCTGCTGGAAACCAGAATTAAAGCTGAGGCATCTCCTCAGTCCCTGGCCCAGGAATTACAGAGTGACATTCCTCCTAGGCCATCCTGTGAGAGTGTTTTGGCCTGAGTCAAATCACCCAGGTTTTCCCACCTACTGGCCCCATCCCCAAATGGCTTTCCATCCCCCTCAGTAAGCTTTCCACCACTCTCTTTCTGCAGGAAGGAAACCCCTTTGGCCCATTCTGGGATCAGTTTCATGTGAGTTTCAACAAGTCTGAGCTTTTTACAGGCATTTCCTTCAGTGCTTCCTACAGAGAACAATGGAGCCAGAGGTACTTGGAGGGGGTAGGGTTGCTGGGTTTAGGGGAGGGGCAGGGAGCTCGTGGGTATTCAGCACCTTCTGGCACTCTCTCGGTCTTCCCCACCCTGATGTATGAGACCAAAGGTGCCGGTGCTCTGTCTGTTGAACTTGGAATCCTGTGTGATCTGTTCCCATCTCCACGCCTGACACGGTGGAACGTTGACCTGCCATGAGGTTGAGAAAGAGTTTATCGGTTGATAAGGGATGTCATAAAAAGAACATTCTGCAGTCACATGAGTCTCAATTTCCTCCTCTAGGCGTGAGAATCACTCCTGTGTTACCTTACTCTTCACAAGGTGAAATTGGGAGCAGCTTCTAGAGAACATCTTCAGGTGCAGACTGAGAAATGATGTCATCTTGATAATTACTGGATGTGTTTATTAATTGCACTCCATTAGCCCCTGTTTAAAAAAAAATAGGTTAGCAGGGCATGGGCACAGGCTGTGAAACATTTATAGGGCGTCTGTCATGTCTGAGACATAATACTCAGAGGCCAGTGGTGATGTGTGAAAATGAGGATGACCGGCCCTGGTTTTCTAGGAGCTATGATCTCACAATGACAATAATCAGCATAGTGTACTTGTCCTTAATGCTATAGCATGGCAGGAAAGATCGTGGGCTTAGAAGACAGATATTGGTTAGGAGGTACAAGGAACATACTAATTCATATGTGGTCAAAGCACTTGGCATTTAATAGGCCAAAGGTAAACAGATATAGAGAAATGAGTCTCACGCCTGTAATCCCAGCACTTTGGGAGGCCAAGGTGGGTGGATCACTTGAGTCTAAGAGATCAAGGCTGCAGTGAGCCATGATGGTACCCCTGCACTGCAGCCCAGGTGACAGAGCAAGGCCCTGTCTCAACAAAACAAAACAAGCACAGGCCGAGGAGTGAAACAGTCCTGAGCCCTGAGCCAGCACTGATGGTATCTGCTTCGTAGTGCATGAAGTGCATATTCCGCACTAAGCAGCCAGCCAGTGTTGGCTGTCAGTGTTATTGCTCACGTGCTTTATTTTATTTAAGCCTTTGAGATAGTTCATGAAGTGGGTATTGTTATCAATTTCCATTTTATAGGCGAGGAAACTGAGCCCAGTGAAGTTAAATAACTTCCCAAGGTCATTGAGCTGTTGAGTGGACAGCTCGGGTCTGTTTGTAAATCTTTATTTTATTTTATTTTTATTTTTATGTATATATGTATGTATGTATGTATGTATGTATGTATGTATTTATTTATTTATTTATTTATTGAGACAGAGTCTCGCTCTGTCGCCCAGGCTGGAGTGCAGTGGCGCGATCTCGGCTCACTGTAACCTCCACCTCCCGGGTTCATGCCATTCTCCTGCCTCAGCCTCCCGAGTAGCTGGGACTACAGGCGCCCACCACCACACCTGGCTAATTTTTTTGTATTTTTAGTAGAAACGGGGTTTCGCCATGTTAGCCAGGATGATCTCAAATCTCCTGACCTCGTGATCCGCCCGCCTCAGCCTCCCAGAGTGCTGGGATTACGGGCGTGAGCCACCACACCCGGCCTGTAAATCTTTAATAAATAACAACAGCTAAGATTCATTTAGTGCATTCTATGTGCCAGACACTGTTCTAAGTCTTCACAGGTATTGACTCACTTACTCTTTCCCTGAGTCTGTGGGTTGTTACTGTCATCTATGCTTTACACTTAGAGAAATTGAAACAGAAAGGAGTAAGGTCCCTTGCCCAAGGTCATGAAGCTTGAAGTTGCAGAGCTTGGTTTTGAACCCAGGAAGTCTGAATCCAAAGCACCAGTTATTTTATATATTTATATTTGAAACAGGGTCTTGCTTGTTTCCCAGGCTGGAGTACAGTAGTATGATCATAGCTCACTGTAACCTCAAATCCCTAGGTTCAAGCAATCCTCCCCACTCAGCCCCCCAAGTAACTGGGACTGCAGGCATGTGCCACCACGCCTGACTAATATTTTGTTTTGTTTTGTAGATATAGGATCTTGCTATGTTGCCCAGGCTGGTCTTAAACTCCTGGCCTCAAGTGATCCTCCCACCTCAGCCTCCCAAAGTGCTGGGATTACAAGCATGAGCTGCTGCGCCCAGTCCCAAAGCACCTGTTCTTAATCACCATGGATTAAATAGCTGTGCCTTTAACAGCTGCCAGTTCCTTTCTGGGACTTGCCTTTGCACCTAGTTCATGCGCTACTGAGGATCCTCAGTCATGGCAGATTTAAATCTTCTTCATTGTTGATCCCAGATAACACACTCCCATTCGTCTGCCTGCATGGTTCTCCCCCATTCACCTCCGAATGAACTGGAGCTGTTGCCAGAGGCAGACCTGCCCTCAAAAGATGGAGATTTGCCCATGTTGACAGTATGCCAGGGGGAAAAAAAGTGCCACCAACTCTAAAAGCAGCTCCAAAAGCAAATTCCAAAAAGCCAGAAAAAGCACACAATCCTAGTAGGAAGAGAAAGGACAATGGTGCATGGGGAGTGTTGTTGAAACACTTGTTTATTGCCCCATAGCTTTGTTTTAGTTCATTGAGTTGTAAGAATTACATGAGGGTTTGAGGAAGTTTGTGCCTTACAGCCAAGTTTTTGGGAAAGGAAAATTAGTAGGGAAGATGAGGTCCCTGGAGGGAGTTTAACGGAGTTGACAGTCTCTGGACAACTGCCTGCCTGCCTTCAACATGTACTTAAGAAGCACTTCCTGAGCGTCAAGGGCTGGTTTGGATGCTGGGGATACAGGCCAGAATAAGGCAGATAAGGTCCCTGCCCCGATGGAACTCACAGTCTAACAGGGGAGATAGTGAATAAACTTTTACATAGGATAGTTCCAGAGTGACATGGTGCTTAGAAGGATGTTAAACAGGTGGTATGTGATTGGCAGGGCTAAGACCAGAAGGATGAGATGGAGCCAGTTATGTCAGAGTTAGAGGGAAAGTAGTTCACAGCAGGAAGTCAGGAGCAAAGACCCTGAGGCAGGAATAAGCTTGGTATGGTGAGGGGGCAGAAAGAAGGCAATGTGGTACACAGTGAGTGAGAGAATGGTAGGATGTTGCTGTCATCTGTTGCTGCATAATAAATCACTACAAAACTTAGTAGCATAACAATAGTTATTATTTCTCATGGGACTGTGGGTTAACTGGGCTTAGCTGGGCAATTCTTTTGGGTTTTCATTTTTCCGTTTTCTTTATGGAATCCCTGCGTACAAAGTTTAAATTCAGGTTAAACATCTATTTCTTGGAATGAATAACCTTTATTCTGAGGCAATGAGTACCCTCAGATATGGTGGGAGATTTCTTTCTTTTTTCTTTTTCTTTTTTTTTCTTCGAGACAGGGTCTAACTCTGTTACCCAGGTTGGATTGTAGTGGCTCCATCACAGCTCACTGCAGCTTTGACCTCCCAGGCCCAAGAGCTCCTCCCACCTCAACTCCCCAAGTAGCTGGGACCACAGACACACACCGCCGTACCCATCTAATTTTGTTTATTTTTTGTATAGACAGGGTTTTGTCATCTTGCCCAGGCTGGTCTTTTTTTTTTTTTTTTTTTTTTTTTTTTTTTTTTTTTTTTTGAGACGGAGTCTCACGCTGTTGCCCAGGCTGGAGTTCAGTGGCGCGATCTCGGCTCACTGCAAGCTCCGCCTCCTGGGTTCACGCCATTCTCCTGCCTCAGCCTCCTGAGTAGCTAGGACTACAGGCGCCCGCCACCGCGCCCGGCTAATTTTTTGTATTTTTAGTAGAGACGGGGTTTCACTGTGGTCTCGATCTCCTGACCTTGTGATCCGCCCGCCTCGGCCTCCCAAAGTGCTGGGATTACAGGCTTGAGCCACCGCGCCCGGCCGCTAGGCTGGTCTTAAACTCCTGGCTTAAAGTGATCCTCCTGCCTCGACCTCCCAAAGTGCTGGATCACAGATGTGAGCCACTATGCCTGGCGTAGAGGTTTCTTTTTTAATGAAGAAGAAAAATTTACATGTAATTCATTACTTCTCCAAAAAAAATTAACATTTTGATGTGTATACTTGTGTCCCCCACACATTTATATGTATATTATATATACACATACATATCTACACATATTAGCTTAAAATGAAATCAGTGTGTGTGTGTGTGTATATATATGTATAAATATATATATAATCAAATAATAATTAACTTTTTCATTTTGGTTGGGCTCAGCAGCTCATGCCTGTAATCCCAACATTTTTGGTGGCCAAAGCAGGAGAATCGCTTGAGGCTAGCCTGGTCAATATAGCAAGACCTTGTCCCTGCAAAAGAAAAATTTAAAAATTTGCCAGGCATGGTGGCATGCACCTGTAGTCCCAGCTACTGTGGATGCTGAGGCAAGAGGATTGCTTGAGCCCAGGAGTTCAAGGCTACATTGAGCCATGATTGTGCCACTGCATTCCAGCCTAGTTGACAGAGTGAGACCCTATCTTAGAAAAGAAACACCCCGGCCAGGCGCGGTGACTCACGCCTGTAATCCTGGCACTTTGGGAGGCCGAGGTGGGCGGATCACGAGATCAGGAGTTCGAGACCAACCTGACCAACATGGTGAAGCCCCGTTTCTAAGTTAGCTGTGCATGGTGGCTCATGCCTGTAATCCCAGCTACTCAGGAGGCTGAGGCAGGAGAATTGCTTGAACCTGGGAGGCAGAGGTTGCAGTGAGCCGAGATCACACCACTGCAGTCCAGCCTGGACAACAGAGCGAGACTCCATCTGAAAGAAAAAAAAAAAGACACCCCTCCTTAATTAAAAAACTTGTCCTTTTGAGATGTAATTTGTATCAATATTTACCAGTTTGGTAAATATTGCTGGCAGGATCGATTCTAAACATTTAAAAACACAAGATTTCAAAAATTGTTACTGGTGTGTATATATGTATACTAGTGGAACTTTTTTTAACCATTTTTTTTTTTTTTTTTTTTGAGACGGAGTCTAGCTCTGTAGCCCAGGCTAGAGTGCAGTGGCCAGATCTCAGCTCACTGCAAGCTCCACCTCCTGGGTTCACACCATTCTCCGGCCTCAGCCTCCCAAGTAGCTGGGACTACAGGCGCCCGCCACCTCGCCCGGCTAGTTTTTTGTATTTTTTTAGTAGAGACGGGGTTTCACCGTGTTAGCCAGGATGGTCTCGATCTCCTGACCTCGTGATCCGCCCATCTCGGCCTCCCAAAGTGCTGGGATTATTTTTAACCATTTTTAAGTGTACACTTCAGTGACATTAAGTACATTCACATGTGCAAACATTACGACTATCCATCTCTAGAATTTTTTCATCTTCCCAAACAGATACTCTGCCCGTTAAACCATAACTCCCATTTCCATGTCCCCACGGCCCCTGGTAAATGCTTTTCTACTTTCTGTCTTTGAATTTCTCTAGGTATCTCATAGGT